AAAGGAAGAATGTATATTCCAAAGCAGGGTTACTGGAAAGATGAGCGATTACCAAGACTTGTTGAAATATACTCTTCAGTGCACATGGAACAGGATTTTTCCTCTGTTACTCCCAGACAGGATGTTTGCGGAGAATCCTGTTAACACAGAAAACAGAGCACAAGCTTGTTTCTGTGGTCCATGTAGATAATCTGGATACAAAAAAAATAAAATGCGTATTTATAGGGAAGAATGTAAAACCAAGGAGCTTTAAGCACATGAAAATCATGATGCATAACTGCAAAAGCAGTAGCAATGTGTGGAACACATAAGAATCATTTCTGTTATGTCTGAGAGCATTTAATGCAGAAATGGAGGCCTCTCTGTATTCTGTTCATTAAGTGCTTGTCCGTGGGCAGGTGTCCAGCATCCCCGAAGAATGTAACAGTGATTTTTCCTTGCAGACTGTACTAGTCAGTTGTATATTCTGGAATTTGGTGTAATTTATGCCATGAAAAGAAGGTACAGGAAATCGATTTGGCACTTTTGGTACACATGGACATGCGAAAGAATGACAGTATGAAAATTTATGTTCTTCAGGCAATGCGCATGACAGCTTCTGCTTTGCTGGAAGTGCAACTACTGTTGCATACATTGAAAGATAGCGAGGTAGTTCTACTCATCTGCCTGTCACTATTACTCAAGCCAGAACAACTGTAAATAAGCATTGGTATAACAAAATGAATGTCTGTGCTGTACAACTCAAGCAAAAACTGATGTTAAACAGAAATGGTGGTAGAATTCTCAAGGCTACCTGTTCACCCACCACTACAGTCTCGCCAACTCCCAATCTGTGGACGGTGCTATTTATAACCAGTGTGTATGGCCAAAGAAGATGCAGAAGTGGACATGTTGAGCAAGTTAATGATAATATTGTGGGTGAAGACATACACATATGGATTATTCAAGAATTTGTAAACTGTGACACGCAGGTCATTGCTTATAGCTTCTTAATGTTGTAAAGTGGCAGGGAAATAAGGATTCAAAAAGTGAGGATGAAGAAGAAAAAGAAGAGGTAAGAACGTCTGTCCCTACATGATGAAACGCTGTTGCATTTAAGTCCGTGGAGTGGTATGTGACTTCATACAACGTAATGAAACAACACTGAAGAATTTAGGGGGAGTCAAAAGAAACCTAACCATGAGACTGTGAATTACCCAGCTGTGAATCATCGACTGCTTGTAAAACAGTTAGGTGAGTTAAAGTTCTGTTTTGCTTTGAATTATTACTCTATATAAAATATTTTATTGTTGGTTGTTTTACATGTGTTGGTAAACTAATACTTTTTGAATTTCTTTCTTAAAGGTGATGACTTCAGAAGGAAGACTGCATTTATCAAGCAACTTGAAGTAAAGCAAGTGATAAATACATTATAAAATACTTGAAGTCTGGATGTAATAGTACATGCCTTAAGTGTTTGGTAGTGCAAATCTAAGGTTATCGAGATTGTTCCTAGTTCTTGTGCAATGATTTTATGAATGTAATTTGCTTTGTGATCTGGTGGCTTTGATTTCATTTTAGGAATGGTTGAATTGATTTTTAATTGTGTTAAACATAAAACAAACCTGATGTTACACAAATGATAAAGGTGTTGAATAGGCATTTAGTATAATAGTGCATGCTATAAATGATCAGTTATACAAAACTGTTTTTTGAGATTGTTCCTTGTTCTGGTACTTGCACAATATGTATCATGTGGTTAAGTTTCTTTATTTCAGTAATACTTAAATATGTGTCAGTAGACTTTGTGCTGATTTTTACAATAAATATGGTTATAGCATTATTACTGTATTGTTATTAATTAGATGTTCTTATGCCTAATGATAACTAAATGGTGCAAATAGTAAATAGTATGAATGTTGGGACATTCACAATGTTAAAGTAAGCATGTCACGTTTATAATATTTACAACTTATAGTTATCAGAAATTGTGGTCCGTGGCAAACACTGAATAGTGGTTTAATTATATATCATTCTTTAGTGTTCCTGTATTACAGGTAGGTTTATGTAGAGTTCAATTCATATATGTCTCGTCTCTTCTAGCATTATTTCTGTTTTGTACAGACTGATGAACAAAAGTCATAAGCCTCTTCTGTCTTTCCACACTTTATATTTTGATTTCTTGGCAGCTATTTTCTCTCTCT